CCTCCCTACATGTGTGTACCACTGTTCTATAGTTCTCCTTGAGGACTATCCTAAGATTCCATTGTGTGTATGCCTCTTTCTTCTTTTTCAAGAGGGCCATCATATCCCTATCAAGCCAAAAGGGCTTACCAGCCCCTCTGCTGCATTTCCTCTGCATGGGAATGGTCTTCTTTTGTGCTATGAGGATCATGTCCTTGAGGAACAACCACCCTTCATACATTCCATTCAGTTTCAGTCCCTGGTCCCACATCGCCTCCCTTACTATTACCCTGAGCCTGTTGAAATTTGCGTTTTTGAAGTCCAGGACTTCAATCCTGCTAGTTGATTTGTCTGCCTTGTGGCAGACAGTGAACATGATTATCTCAAGGTCACTCTTGCCCAGGCTACCCTCAATATTCAGGTTGTTCCTTTGACCAAGACCAAGTCTAGGAAAGCATTGCCTCTGGTTGGCCCTTGCGCTTCCAGATAGAGCTGTTCAATATAGGTTAAGAAGCTACATGACCAATCCAACCCAGCCAAGTGTTCCTCCCAACCCTATGATCCAGAAACCCTTGCTCTCCGCAGTTGCTTAAACAAGGAAGTGAGTACCCACTCTGCTTGATTGAGAATTCTTTTCAGAAGTGCCCAAAGTTCAGTGTTTGTAGATGCTGCTTTGGTAAATAAATGGCTAGCTCTCATCTAAGCACCATATGGAAACCAAAACAAAACTAGGATTGTTTTGGAGAAGAGGGAATTCCAGTTAAAAGAATCTGTCCATACCTTGAGTGGCCATCTATCGGTTTGATCAAATGCACTTTCTAGTAGAAGGGAGAGGCATTATGAGTCACATTTTGTGCTCCAGTCATAGGGACAGCCTCTGGGAAATAGCGTAGGATAAAGATTTAATAATGTATAAAGTCTAGTAAGAAGAAAAATCTTGTAAGATTTTATTTTAATAAAAAAATTAAGGAGTTCTTTTACTGGATTTCTTTTATTTGAAAAGACACTTGCAAATGTATCTGGGGGAATGTTTGTTCACCAGAGCACCCCAAGGGATGACGAGGTCAAATGGTCATAAATTACTACAAAACCATTTCAGGCTGCACATAAGGAAGAATTTCTTTACTCTTCAAGCCCCCAAGGTCTGGAACAGCCTGCAATCGGAGGTGGTTCAAGCCCCTACACTGAACACCTTCAGGAGCAAATTGGATGCTTATCTTGCTGGGATCCTATGACCCCAGCTGACTTCCTGCCCTTTGGGCGGGGAGCTGGACTCGATGATCTTCCGAGGTCCCTTCCAGACCTAATGTCTATGAAATCTATTAAATGAGTAATTTGCATGATTGGTCAACCACCGATTCAAACTGTTGTATAATAGCTTAGTGATAAATGCCAATAATAATATTATTTAATATTTTTCTTATTGTAGAAAATAGATGGCTGTCACCACTATGGGGGTCCAGGAGGGTTGGAGGTTTCTCAAGGGAGTGATCCTTGGGGCACAAAAGGAGTCTATCCCCTTACACAGGAAAGGTGGCACAGGGATAAGAAAGCCCCCTTGGCTGAACAGGGAACTCCAGAAAAGACTGGGGGCAAAGAAGGAGGTTTACAGGCAGTGGAAGCAGGGAGCATCCACCAAGGAGGAACACGCCTCCTTGGCATGCTATTGCAGGGAATCAGTTAGGCAGGCTAACACAGGGCTGGAGCTTAGGTTAGCTACCACCATCTAGGACAGTATCATAGCTGAGCCTCTGGCACAGCTGTTCGAGTACTCATGGTGCTCCGGCCAGGTCCCTGAGGATTGGAAAAGGGCTAATATGCTACCCATTTTTAAGTAGGGGAGAAGCAATGAGCCAGGTAACTTTAGGCCAGTCAGTCTTCCCTCTGTCCTTTGGAAAATGCTGGAAAAAATCATCAAAGAGCACATTTGTGAAGGCCCAGCAGGGGAAATGATGCTGAAAGGAAACCACCATGGGTTCATTGCAGGTAGATCCTGCCTGACAAACCTTATAGCCTTTCATGACCAGGTCCCACACTGCCTTGTCATAGGAGCTGAGGCTGATGTCATCTACCTGGACTTTAAGAAGGCCTTTGACACAGTTTCGCATCCTATTCTCATAGGGAAAGTAGCAGGCTGTGGGGTGGATGCTTACACAGTCAGTTGGGTTGCCAATTGGCTTAGGGACTGCACCCAGAGAGTGGTGGTGGATGGGTCGTTTTCAGCCTGGAAGGAAGTAGGCAGTGGGGTCCTGCAGAGTTCGGTTCTTGGACTGGTGTTATTTAATTTCTTCATCAGTGATTTGGATGAGGGTGTGGAGAGCAGTCTCCAAGTTTGCAGATGATACCAAGTTATGGGGCAAAGTTAACACACCGGAGGACAGGGAGCAGATACAGGCCCATCTGGACAGGTTGGATCAATGGGCAGAATGAAATAAGATGCAATTTAACAAAGAAAATGCAAGGTACTCCACCTTTGGAGAAGGAATCCCCAGCACACCTATAGGCTGGGGGATGACCAGTTCAGTGGCTGAGAGGGATCTTAGAGTCAAAATTGACTCCAAGATGAACATAAGCCAGCAGTGTAATGATGCCATCAAGAAGGCCAATCACACTTTGTCGTGCTTTAGCAGATGCATGATCAACAGATCGAGGGAGGTGATGCTCCCCCTCTGTGAGGAAGGCCCCAGTTGGAGTACTGTGTTTAGTTTTGAACACTGCACTTCAAGGGGGACATGGAGAATCTGGAAAGTGTTCAGAGGAGGGCCACTCGCATGATTAGTGGCCTCTGTGAAAGACCCTACGAGGGGAGGTTGAGGGATCTGGATCTCTTCAGCCTTCACAAGAGACGGCTGAGGGGAGACCTTGTAGCTGCCTATAAGTTTATCAAGGGAGGACAACAGGGAATTGGAGATGCCCTATTTATCAGAGCACCCTTAGGAGTAACTAGGAATAATGGGTGCAAACTAGTGGAGAGTAGGTTCAGGTTAGACATTAGGAATATTTTTTTTACACTAAGGCTGGCCAGAATCTGGAATGGGCTTCCAAGAGAGGTGGTGCTATCACATAACTTGGAGGTATTCAAGAGGTGGCTTGATAGTCACCTGGCTGGGGTCATCTGACCTCAGTCCTCTTTCTTGCCAAGGGTTAGGGGTCAGACACAATGATCCTTTGTCGTCCCTTTCAACTCTACAATCTATGAATCACTATATTTATTTTGACTAACCTTATTTTTTGTATGAAATTTTGTTCAGCTTTTGCTGGGAGTTGTGTATATGGTGTACTCTTAAGTGCATATCTTCAGGACTGAGAAAAAGCCATGCATTCACCCAAACTGAATGGAAACAGAAGTCAATAACTTAGTGTGTTCTGAGCTTTTTGCACCTCATTAAGGATCATTACCTTGTTTCTCAGAATGCCTTATGCCTCTAATAGCGTCCTTGAAATTGACTGAACCCACTTCAGAAGACTTGTAATTGATGGCTCCTAGTATGTTTTACCAATGATTGTAGTGAAATGAAGTGCAAATACTTTACAAAATAGACAACTTGGCCAAAGAGTCTTCCAAGTCCTAGTTCTATGCACTTAACAAATATGCAGGTAGTTAGCTTTTGTTACTTTGTAAGTAACAGAACAAAAACAAAAAAGGGGGGATAGGTATCATGTAGTGCAGGTAAAGAAATGATGCGCTTATCCTGTATGAATATGCACTGTATTCACTGTACACCAGTGGTATACCAGTGGTTCTCCACTTTTTTTAAACTTGAGGCACCCCTCTTTAGACTTGAGGCTCCCTAAGAAAATTCCAGCTCTTAGTTTTCACTTGTTTTTTTACCACAGAAAAATAATAGGGACATTTTGTTGCAGACAACTCGAACCATAATCATTCAAAAAGTTTTCAACACGATGGATTCCTATTTGGAATCTCTGGGTTTATCTTGTGAATCATGTTTGAATATCTAATGAAGCTAACTATATGCCACAGCAGCCTGGCTGAGGATCAAGATGTATACACCTTTGAACATACAAGCATTCATAGATACGGGACATACTTGTTAGATCTGGCCCAATTGCATTTGGCATGTGATTCAAGAAATGCAGGCATGGCACAGTTTGGCTTTATTAACCATGGCCATATTGGCTCCAGATTGTATACAGAATGAACCAAGCAATATTAGATTGTTCTATTTTAAGATTATTTGATGGCCCAGCATCCTGTTTCAACAGCTAGGGATGATTCAAATGTACCAACACTGGATATATCTTCTTTTATCCAGCTGTCCTTTTTGTAGTAGAGATTTACCCTATCCCTTTGGCATTTACCTTAACCTTCATGAATATTTACCTGACTTGATAAAACAATGTTCTATAATTATGTTTTTATATAAATGGAAAAGAATGGCTATGCGTCTGGTTGAAAGACTTGTGTTTTTTTTGTTGAGGGCAAGTTAAAACTCATCATGGTAGTAGTGGCAAACAAAAGATGCTTTGCCATAAGTGACATTTAATATAAGTATATTGACATCTTTGTTACAAAAAGCTGTAATTTCAATTTGCAAAATTACATTTTCTAGCACAATGAGGCTCAACTAGAATGAGAGCAGAGCAGCTATTGCAGTATAAATCTTTAATGGTAAATACAGTCTTAGTTTAATTCTTAATTTTATGGATTAGGTAGCATGCAGTACAGTTTTGCAGTTTATATACGTTTTTCCAGAATGGTCCAGTAATGGTGTTACATTTATTTTATTTATTTATTTATTAAATCTCATTCTTGTTAAACACTTGACTGCTGCTTACTCAACTTAGTATCGCATGCAGTGAATTTTAGAGCATATAAGCTAAGGTGTTACTGTAGAGGATCAATAGTCAAGTGCTTTAATTGTTGCATTCACTTTGAACTACTGAAGAGTTAAGTGTCTTATTTTGAAGACATCCACATTCATGCGTAGGCTCCTGTAACCTGCTAGGACCTCCAGTCTTGTTTTTGTTGTTTCAACATCTGTTGTTTTGACATCTTTCAGAGCGCCCACTGCACTACACAGAGAATGTGTTAGAACAAGTTCTTCACTGGAGTTCATTACCTGAGCCTGGAACAGCATATCTAGTAATAAAGAAGTTTCTAACAGTAGACACAGTAAAACTCTACACTGGTACGTATTTTTATTTTTAAAATAGTATTTGATAAGAGAGTATTAATGTGGCAAATCTCTTTAATAATTGTTTATTGTTTCAGTGATTAGCCTGAAAGCACTGTTACAGTGTAAAAATCATAGTAGGGTCTGGTCTGTCAAAGCAAAATTAACTTCATCTAAACAAAATGTTTATGCATGTTGTTTTCATCCAACTATGAAGTCCACTATTTGGATATTAAAGTGCAGCATAATTTCATCATAAATGAAAGTGCTCTAGCTGTCATTTATAGCCTAGTATTGATCACTAGCCTAGGCAGTAGGGCTGTATGAAATGGCTATATCTCATTTTGATTTCAGATTTAACCATTTCAGAGGACAGTGATTCTTTCTGGTGTTTCGGATCACTGTTCCATTTCACTTTGGCCAAATCTGTTTCAGATTTTCAATGCTGTTTCGGAGATTTGGATCAGCTGGGGAGAGACAGGCACAGCCCAGTGGCTGCATATTTTCCTGTGGCTCCTCCAGCTGTGCCTGCATCTCCCAGGGTGGGGGGAGCCCTGGGAGAAGCCCCAGTGGCTGCCCCGCCATGCCCAGCCCCATTCCCTGCCTGGCACTTAAAAATAAATAAATAAATAAAATCCCTGCACTCACTGGCTCTGGCAGTGGCGATCAGGGCCTCTGAGGGCTTGTGGCAGAGCCTCCCCTCCTCCCCCCAACACATGCACACACAGAATGCAGGGCAGTGGGGGTCAGTGGGGATTGGGCCCCCCCCCCAGCACCCACGTGGCAGCTGCCCAATGGCACAGGTGCAGCACGACTCAGCAGGGTGCTGCATGCTGTCTGGGAGCTAGGGCCTCTGGGCCTTAGCGCTGCTGGGCTGACTGCTGAAGCCTCCCCAACTCCCAGACAGTGCACAGCACCCTGCTGATCTGCACTGGTACCAAGTGAGGGGTGGAGGGGACGATCACCGCTACCCCCCATTGCCCCACGCTGTATGGGGAGGTCTCTGGCATGAGCGCCGAGAGGTGCTGATCACCACTGCCGAAGCTGGTGAGTGTGAGGCTTTTTTCTGGTTTTGGTTTTTTGATTCCCAAACTGTTGGGGCCAGGTGGGGGGCTATCAGGGAGTGGAGGCTGCATGGGGGTGCTCTGCCAGGAGGCCACACAGCCCACATCCCCTACTACAGCCAGAAATTTCACACAGCCCTACTATGCAGTCCATCATACTACTTTTCTGTCAGGCTTTGATGCTTAGTGGATGTGTCTACAATAAGCACTACTGCATAGTGGTTACTGCACATTTATTCAGTACTCTATAAACAGGTAATAAATACATACTAACTGGAGTTACTGCACAGTAGCTCTGGCAAATGCCTTCTAAGTGACATTATTGTTCAGTAGCCCAATACTACATAGTAGCATCTCAGCACGGATCTTGCCCTGTGACACTACTGTGCAGTAATATCAAGCTATTGCTCAGTCAGCATCTTGTGTAGACACACCCAGTAATAATTATAGCCTACTTGAGAGCTAGCTGGCATCTTGGAGATTTTATTTTACCAAGAAAAATGAGACAAAATAAAGACCTTTGTAGCTCTTGAAAAATCTGATGACTCTGAATTTGAAGGCTAGTACAAATGGAAAACAGTGAAACTACACAGCAAAGTTATTTTTGGAGATAGGGAAGTGGGGCTTCCAAATAGGAAGAGGAGATTTAGCAGTTAGGTTAAAAGAATGAGTCAGGTGTGTAATGGAAGATGTGATCTAATAGTTGCGCACATTTCATTTTATGTCATCTCATTCTGGTATATCATTTTCTGTGTAATGAAGTACTGTGTTTTTCCAATTCCCTGTTTTCCCTGAAATGTAAGCTCAAGAAGGGTCAATACATATGAAGCTTTGTAATATAAAAAGGTTGACAAGAATCCACTAGGGATTACTGGAAGGTACACTAAGAGTTTCATAGTAGTGATATTTTATTACAATTTAGTACCTTGAAGAATGTTTTTTCTGGTGGCTTTCGTATTTCACCATTTTTAACTAGCAGTATCTCAGTATAAATTACTTCCCCCCCCCATGCCACTTGCAAATAAACAAAGATTTTAACTTTTTCCCAGTGTCCCACAGTGCCACACTGTGTTCTCAAGATCACCATTTCTTGTCATCCTTAGTTCCCATGCAAGGAAGTTCATTAACTGCATAAAATGCACTATTCACAGCTTTTAGTAATTTTATTCTCCCACACCACCATCTCTGATTTATAACAATTCTTTGTAAGAGAGAGTAGTTCTAGTTCAGCCAGTTGAAATCTGAGACTATCAATGCAAAAACCGTTTTAGCCTCAAGCTGTGTTACAGTCAGAAGTGAACAGGGCTTGAGAAGGATGTATATTAATCAGCTTTGTCAGCTGCAAGGTAAACTATTGTGGCATTCAACAAGTGGGCAATCTTCATCTGTGGTTTCATTTTGAAATGTAAAGCATTTTAATAGCTTTGGCTGGAGTCTAGGTTACCACTTATTTCAGTAGAGCTATCCCTTAACTTTTCGTTTGTTTTGATACCTTGCTTGTTCCCTTTGGTTCATTTGTATCAGCCTTCTTTTTTCCCCCTTCTTTCTTGCTCTTGTAATTGATCTCTATTACACTGTAAATTGATGTCCATTATATTACTATCCAGTGTATTCTTCCCCCACAAGCATTTGCTTTTGATGGCCACATATTTAGTTCTTCATTTCATTTTAATGTTGTGTATTGATGTATAACTATAATGTGTTCTTAGGTACTTACCAAGAAGCATATTATACATTAATGTTAGACACTCAGAATCATGTTTAGGTATTAGGATAATGAAAAGCATTTGGAAACCAGATTTGCTCAGAATTCTTCCACATTTTGAATAACAAGAAATATTACTGCCATGTTGCTAATTTAAGGCCCAGTTTTGTCAATAGTCCCACAGCTAAATAATCTCTTGCATTACTGCTGGTTCCATTCTTGAATTTAGGCTTGTCATTTTAAGAAGCTTTTCCCTGGTGAGTAAGTTTTAATCCTTAAAAACCTGAGGTTTTTTCCCTCCTTAATTTGTGTCTTGCAGCATCCAAGAGCTCGTAAATACTGCTTATGTGGGTGTACTTAGTGATAGATTTCGGATAGTTAGATATTCTGTTTACTTTGTCTCTGTCTGAGCAAATGTCTTCCAAATCAATCACAATGACTACCAACTCCCAACATTATTGCTTCATTCATTGCATCCAATACACCTTAAAATTGGGATCTAAAAAGGACATAATGAAAGTAAATCAAATGTGATTATACCGTCAATTTATTACCTGCAGAACTGGCATCTTTTCAGAAACATTTACTCATTGTGGTTCATCACAAAAAAAGAAAAATGTCAGGGAATACTTTTCTTTATATATTCTTGTCTTGTATATAATGAGGCAGTGTCTTTGTTACAAAAATAATCAACTGTAACGGGGTTTTATTTTAATAAGACAAAGAAGTTAAGGACTTTAAACTTCAAAGAAAAATGCTCTTAAAGGAGTCATTTAGCAGGGATTTTAAAGACCCTAGTTCCTTAAAATTTATTTGACATATTAGCAATGTAAGCAATGAACAATGCTGACATTTTTACATGTCTATTTTTTTAACAGCAGCAGAACTATGTAAAATACAGTTAGTGTTTTGCATGTGTAGACACACACATATGTTTATATATATATATATATATATACTTTTTTTAAGTTTAAGCCTTCTTAAATATGACCTGTGTGCTGATATTTTTATACTTCAGGTATTTGTGCATTAAATATTTCGAATCTTGCATTTAAATCCACATGTACATATTGCTAAATTACAAAAGCAAAACTTGGCAGTCAAAGCATTTTCTTTGCGAATGCCTCTGATTTCATTCCCAAGTAGCTCTTTTGGGAGGGTGGCTGCAGCAGAGAGTCTGTATGTTTGTTTGGACTAGCAAAAGAAAGAGAATTCCTGGTGTGTTGAGAGAAGGAGGAGGAAGAGGGGGACAGATCTGGCTGCTCTGAGGTCTTCCATTGCAGAATATACAGGTTGTTAGACTAACAATTATGAGGCTATTATGCCCTGTAAGCCCAGGTGACAAAGGGAGAAACAAGTCTTTTGCAGTCCCAGGTGTGTATGATTCATGTGCACCCTTCGTTCTTCTTCTAAACTAAGCCCTAGGATTTAGGTTGAAGTTAGCTACTCCTAAATATTAGTTGTTTGGATTTTGGTACAAGGCCATTGGACACCAGACTAGGATCAAATGAGTGTCCAATATTTTGTGTGGGTTTCTAGCTTTCTTTTTTTCTCAGTGTTGTGGTTAATAAAGTTGAAGTCTTCTCCATCCCTGAATCTCTTTTTCTTTCCTTTGTTTAAAACCTGTACCAGTTGTGTTAATCTGTAGCAGATCCATTTGATATAGAGGCTTTTGGACAAATGGCTTCCTACCATTGCTGATTATGCCATTCAAGGGTTTCATTTCTTCATCCTGCAAAGAATGATGGTGTTTTTCAGGGAATACATGACCAAGGATGGTGTCAAGAGATTGTTTTCTGTGAAACTATAGAAAAGGAAAAAAAGAAAATGTTTGTATAATGTTCTCAAGACCCATCTAAGCTTCTCTCCTGTGCCTTATTTCCAGACACGGGAGCAAGTGTAAGTAAGTACAGTTGGTTTCTCGATGGCAAGCTCAACAAAGACCATAGCTTTAGTCTCTTTTTTAATAAGAGATTCTCTCGTATCCCTCTTCATTTTAGGAGTCCTCCTGTATATCTGTTTGACCCTTTTTTCCATGAACCTGAATGATCAAAATACTCAGGGTAAGATGTTTTCAGTGCTTTTGTACAAGAGAAATATGCCTTCCAGTTTCTACTTAAAATAGCCTTATCATACTTATCATCACATTGGTTGTTAAGAGTAATCCACTAACACATCCAAGTCTTTTTCCTGTTTCCAAATAAATCTTTAGTTTACAGAAGAGAAACTCTTGTGGTGGTTTTCTC